ATAAAAGTCCCTAGGGATACTGCCGCACTCCTTACCAGATACCCCTATATGCAAAGCTGGGTGCTGTAGTAACTGCTGAAGTTACATCAAACAGTAACGAGTAATCACAGCACACTGATGAGTAGTGTGTATAACTCTTCTTTATTCACGCATCATGTCACATCTCCAAAGTGCAACGTTTCTAGGCCATGCAGGGTCCCCTTCATCAGGCTTAACATGACGTTTACATCTGATTACCCTGTCTAGGTCTGAAAAAAACAAAACAGAGTTCCAATGTGGAGGACCTGATTGTAAGGGATCAGGGGCGTCCAGAGGTTGGGTGTCACTCAGTGCGGATAACGGATGACACCCGCCGTGACGTCATTGCGCATGAGCGTGATGTCACCATGCGCGTGATCAATTACGTCATTACACATGCGCGTCCATCTTTGTGATGCCTGCCAGCAGCCATCTTGGTGATGGACACCGGAGAGAGGAGGGGATATTCTCCCGGCGGGATAAGGTATGCCGCCGGGTCCCCTCCTCTCACCTGTCGGGCTCTTGGTCCATGACCGAGTGCCCGACTTTTCAGAAGAGGTGACACCTAAAATAACTTTCAGTCATTTTGGTATCACCCCTCCATTGGTGTCAACTGGGTGTGGGCTGCGCCCCACGCCACCCCTTGTGATGCCACTGTTAGGGATCAGAGGTAATTGGATGTAAATGGAGGCATATCTGCTTACTTTCGACTCGCAATAGACCTAACATGGCTCTGTTAGTTCAGTTTTTCCCTTTATCGCAAGTTCGATGAAAAAACTAAATATACATAGATTTCAAAAAGTGACATACAAGCAAGTATGACATAGAAGTGAGTGACAATCAGCAGGGCATCTGTGCAAGGTTACCCTGCTGATTGAAACAGACAGGAACCCATGTGAATAAGGCCTTTGGCTGTGGCTAGACATTTGTGCTGCAAGAATCTGTAGGAAATGCAAGGTGTCTCTGTTAAGGTTTTGCCTATTTAAGTTAATGACAGGCTGACAGAGGCAGCATCTTTCAGTGGATGTCTGCATGTAATCGTGCTTGGAACAGCTTAGATAGGTCAGGATAGATGATTATCCCTAGATGCAGAAAGATTGCCAATTCAAGGTCATTTTGAGCCGTTGAGGTGCATTGTAAGCCCATACATTTCAAATGGGATGACTAACGCAGCACAGCACATGTTTTAATGCGCATGCATTACCCCAATGGTTAGGTGTGAACCTAGACGTAGGTAAAATTGTGTTTTAGATAATAAACAATAACATAAATAAAATGTTAAACAATACCTACCTTTGTTTGACAAAGGTCGATTTTTTAAAATCAACTTTTGTTGAAGGAGCCAGGCCTGTTAGGCGAAACAGTGAATGCAGCCAATCAACAGAAGTCACTGTTCATGTATTCTGACCGATACATACATACATAAATGCACACACACACACACATATACTTTATATATACACACTCAGATATATACATACAGTACATATGTATACACTCACTAATGATGTGCCTAGGCTTGGTGTGAACCCAGTTCGCCCAGGCCTGTTCAAAACTGTGACTGCCACACCCGCCTCTCTGCACAATTAGATGGGGCAGGCACACTCCTTGTTCCGCAGCTATACCTCACAAAGGGGAGGGGAATGCTCCTCCCGCAACTTTTGACACTGATTGGGCCGGGAGCTATTGTTTTGCCACTGCTGCACTGCCAACATGCCGCTCTACCTGCCACCCCCCTATGTGGCTTAATGAGGTGCCGTCTCAAAAGTCTCAGGTTTCCTCATTGTAGGGACAGCCCTAGATAAATCTGCATAGAATAAATTTTTCTAGAGTCTAGGAGCAGCCCCTTACAAATAAATAATTTGGTGAACTTAAAAAACAGTATGGAACTCTTAAAAGCCCTTATCAGCATTCTATTGCTGTGTGTGTCCATGCGTAAGAGAGTCACTCACTCTGTTTCTCCTGATGAGTATTATCAAAGTGAGAGGAAATCCAAAATTGTACAGTTGTCACCAGAACCGGAGGTATGGGGACATTTTCTAATGGGGACACTTGTTCCAGTGATTACTGTTTAAGAGTGGATTTTGTTATGAGTGTTATGTTTAGTTTATATGCAACTCTATGATTCATCTCTGTGGCACTTGTTTCCTGTGATGCGTTTCCTGTTCCTGTTCTGTGGGTTCTCTTCTAAGAACATGACTTCTGTACACTAACGGCTTATACTGTCATTATTACCACATAAAACAGATTTCCCCTCACTTTAGAGAGGTTTTATATCACATCCTATAGTGTCCCTGGGAAAAAGAGTGAAGGAAAATCTTCCTAGTATGCATTTTGAGGCTTAGGTGACTCAAATGTGTCTTTAAACAAATGTATATTCAATATCTAAGGACTAATCAGCTAACATATTGGCTTATATGTTTTAAACCCTTTCATTTGTCTGTGCATGATTATATATATTGTTAACCATGTTTGAAAATATAGCTAGGTCCTCCTAATTCAGAGATGATAGGGATAACTAATGGCACCAGTTGAACTGGTTGCCACCTGGATATTGTAAATAAACAGCCAGACGACAGCCATATAAGGGTGGGTGGGTATTTAAAAAAACATTCTTTCCCCCTCTCGCTTTTGCGCGCCCCCCAACCTGCAATCAGGAGTGGGAAAGTTTGGCAAATGATAGCCTTTGATATATACAAGCATACATAAGCTCTAAAGCCAAAAAATTGGGCAATAATAAATGTTTAATAACATAATGTAGTTTTTTTTCAAAATTTTTGGTACTTTTTTCTTTATAAAAAAAAACTGCAGTGGTGATTAAATACCTCCAAACAAAAGCTCTATCAGTTCAAAAAAAATGGTATAAAATTAATTTCCGTGCGGCGATGCATGACGGAATGATTATTAGTCAAAATACCTCAGCGCTGAATACTGAAAAATGGCCTGGAAACGAAGGGGGTTTCACACTGCGGTCTTCAAGTGGTTAATTGTAATGCTCTTGAGACAAGTATGAATACCTAAGTCATAATATATTTGTATATGTTAGGCTTGACCTCAAGAATAAATAAAGTGATATTAAAGTCAAAAGGTTTTTAAACTTTTTAAAAAGCTGTCTGAATTACTTACAATCAATAACAATGGATGCTGTTCCTTGTTGTTTAAAAGTTTATGCTTCCTGCAGAATCAGCTAGTCCCCTGAGCACTGGCCTTGATATTGTGTTTTAGAGTGGCTCCTTACCCTTGCAGGGTCTTATGGAGCCACCCTTGTGCGTGCTGGTAAGCTGTGTGTGTCTGCACATTCCCACAGGCACAGCAAGGCACTACTTCCGGCCCCCCCCTTTCCTCCCTCCTTCTTGCCTTCTCCAAGCTAGAAGATGGACAGCTGCTAGAGATTGTCCCCTGTGATCTTGTACTGGACTGGAAGTTCAGGGAAGCCGAGCTAGGAGAGTGTTAGTCAGCTGTTCAGAAAAATGATGACTGTAAGCTCCGCTCATGTATTAGCGTTTTTCCACACATATTCGTACATGCGGAAACGCGCAAAACGTCCTTAAATATTGAAACATTTAAATGTGATATGAAAGCTAAGCTCTTACAAATGCCTTGAAATGCATAAAAAGGACGTAGTATTTTTGCACCCATCAAGAAATATCTGTAGTCAACCAGGCTATCTTAGTGCATAAAATCATGCTAGTAATGATGCTTAGGTAACACCAATATCTAACCTATGGTAAAGTGTAGACCATCCTTTAAAGGAGAACTATGAGGTGAGTGCTTTTCAATGAGACTGTCACAGGTTGGCTCAGTAGATCGGGAAGTGAGCGAACACATACCAGCGCTCACTTCTCGATCCTGTCACGGCACTCTGCCGTGACGGGAGGGGCTGGATTCCCCCCTCCCCGCTCCGATTCTCAAGGGCTGACTGGCAGAACAGATGGGGGAGGGGGCGGGTACAGCTGGGTCTGGCTCTAGATAAGCAGAACCAGCTGTCACTCACGCAGCTGGGCGGATCCAGACATAATTGTCGGGATTCGCTTCAGCTGAGGCATCTAAGTATACTGCGAGCTGTAGCTCGCGGTATACTGCGGCGTCTCAGTATACCGTGAACTGTAGCTTAGGGTGACTGAGCTTAGGGTGACGGGAGGATGCTAGTTTGTGTCCTCCCGTTACCCTAAGAAGAACTATGGGGAAAACCCTCAACCCCATAGTTCTTCTTTAATTGGCTCCTTGCTGTCTTTCTGACAGAGAAAGGGAAGTTACATGGTGTAAAATTATACAAGAGGCTGAAGTCCTGCCAATAGGTACACTAGGGAGATAGTAGGTTTGAACTGCAATGAATCACAAAAAATCCATGATAAAGTTAATTGCACATACTTCCTGACTGTAGCACAAGTGTTTTATATTTGAAAGTAGTACTAAAGGCTGGGTGTTTTTTTTTTTTTTTAAATCTTAATGCATTCTCTGCACATTGACCCACACACACACACACACACACACACACTTACCTGCAGCTGCTTCTATCCTTCGCCGTGATCTGGAAGATACTCAGGGTTCCCCGAACTTCCTGATTGTAGGGGAGGGTACTGAGGGCAGAGGAGCCATAGGCTTTTTCATGCTGTCAGTCAAACTGTTACTACAAGGGTGGTGGCATGGCCGGCAGCTCGCTGTGTGGGTCTATGGACACACACAGGTAGGTGCGGGCACAGCCATGAGCGTGCACACACCGCTAGTTTATGGAGGCACCCATGGTGGGATGGGGAGAGCTAGCAGTTTGGACACCACTAGAGAATGAGGAAATAAAAAAAATGAAAATATAAAAAAAGTTTTTTTTAAATAAGCCTGGCAACAATAAATAGAAAACGTAAAGTAAAACAAAAACTTTTAATGTCACTTTAATTTTGCATAACATAAATATGTTGTCTGTTGTTTCTTTTTAAGAGTCATATTCTGAGGTCTGTATTAAAATGCATTTTTTTTTTTTTTAGCTGTTGGCTGTCTCTGCAGAAAGGAGCAATATGGGCATTTGTGGCACCTGCATTGTTTGTTATTGTTGTAAGTATAATAGGATAGATTTATGTCTATTTAATTTTCAAATATCAGAAAGCTAAGGAAGAGATGACTTACTAACGTATACATGATGTGATGCATGACGTCAGTCTTAGAATTTAATAGTATTATCATTTCTAGTAAACATTCATGTATGAATATATATAGATTATGTAGCTGCTGCTAAAGGAGGCTAAATTGCACTTCTGCAAATCAGTCTCAGATCCTTGCATAGCTATATGAAATCAGTCTCAGATCCCTGCATAGCTATATGAAATCAGTCTCAGATCCTTGCATAGCTATACAAAATCAGTCCCAGATCCTTGCATAGCTATATGAAATCAGTCTCAGATCCTTGCATAGCTATATGAAATCAGTCTCAGATCCCTGCATAGCTATATGAAATCAGTCTCGGATCCTTGCATAGCTATATGAAATCAGCCTCAGATCCTTGCATAGCTATATGAAAAATCACTCTCGGATCCTTGCATAGCTATATGAAATCAGCCTCCGATCCTTGCATAGCTATATGAAATCAGCCTCCGATCCTTGCATAGGTATATGAAATCAGTCTCAGATCCTTGCATAGCTATATGAAAAATCACTCTCGGATCCTTGCATAGCTATATGAAATCAGCCTCCGATCCTTGCATAGCTATATGAAATCAGTCTGAGATCCTTGCATAGCTATATGAAATCAGTCTCAGATCCTTGCATAGCTATATGAAATCAGTCTCAGATCCTTGCATAGCTATATGAAATCAGTCTCAGATCCTTGCATAGCTATATGAAATCAGTCTCAGATCCTTGCATAGCTATATGAAATCAGTCTCAGATCCTTGCATACCTATATCAAATCAGTCTCAGATCTTTGTATAACAATATGAAATCAGTCTCCGATCCTTGCATAGTTATATGAAATCGTCTCAGATCCTTGTATAACTATATCAAATACATTTTAGATCTTTGCATAACTATATGAAATAAGTCTCAGATCTTTATATAAATGTCTCAAATCTGTTTCAAATCTGCAGAACTGTCACAGTTGTGTTGTCCTAAGAATACACTGAATGGAAATACATCTTAAACAGTTTCCTAAATGAGATTTGTTCTAGGTTTACCCCTCTTGTACTGCTGATAATATGCTTGATAAATCTCCTTTACGTAGTGACCTGATTTTAGAAGATGGTTTTATGGCTCTTTATAATTTATTGCTGTAGGTGAAGGTTCTTAATACATGTACCAAGCAATGAAAAGGTTAGAATAAATTATTTTGCTTTGAAGGTAAGGAGGGAAGATTGTGCAGTCGTTATAGTGAACATCAAAACAAAATAACAAGGCTGAAGGAAATCCTCATAATATATATTGTCTACTCAACGCACATTAATACAGACATTTACTGCAATCCCTGCACAGCACTTGTTTGAGTTCAATGTCTACTTTTGTTTAGATTGTTGTTTTTGTATTCTCTTCTGCATTTGCATTTTACATGACTTTTCTTTCCATGTAATCTTTCATTCGATTTCCTTGTGTCTTTTTCTGCTATACCTTCAATCGTTTATTGAGAATACTCCTTCTTTTAGCTTATAACATCTCCTTCACCTAGAATATTTCCTGCGCACTTGCAGCCTCCCCAGATAGTTGTCTCCAAGCATCATGGAACAAGGTTTGAATATCTTCCGTTTGATTCTGTTTCAAAAAATCAGACCCAAAGAAACAATTAGAGAAATTTATCAAAACTGGTGCAGGCAAAATCTGGAGCAGCTGTGCATGGTAACCAATCAGCATCCATGTTTCATTTTTAAAGCTTAACTAAACAAACAAGAGAGAAGCTGATTGGTTGCCATAGGCAACTGCTCCAGATTTTGTTGATAATTCTCCCTCAATATATGTTTAACCACATTGACCTTATATTGTTTAACCTCCCTGGCGGTATTCCCAAGCTCGGGGTTACTTTTCCATAACATAAGCGGTAACCCCGAGCTAAACTCGGGAATGCCGCATAGTATTTACTTACCTTGTCCCTCGAGCCACGCTGTGTTCTCCGGCCAATGCCGGCATCCCTCTTCCAGGTACCATCCCTTGCGAGCGTACGCGTCACAGGGGGCAGAACCGGAGGGATATTTAAAAAAAAACCCGACAAAGACGAAAAAAATTCGAAAAAAAATAGAACGAAAAATGACATGAAAAAAAGACAAAAATTATACCGCCAGGGAGGTTAACCTAGATTGACCACATTTGTACCTAGACTGACCACTAATATATATATATATATATATATATATAATTTTTCTGCACCTGAACTGACTGCACTGATGTGAAAAGATCCCAGAAATACCATAGCAATACATTGGGATGCATTTGAGGTGCGGACAAAAAAAACATTCTGGTCTGGATCTGGTTCGGACATGGTGTGAACAAGCTCTTAAACTTTCAAGTGCACCTGCACTTTCTCCAATCAGAGTGCAGTGACAGGTTTTCTTGATAGCCCTTTCTACATTCTGTTGATACTTATCTTCATCCCCTTTCAAATATGCAAGCTTAGTAGGTAAGAACGCAAAAGACAGTGACAATATGCTTCAGTACAGCCTATCAACAACACAGATGTACTTTGTTTATAGCCATTAGTGCTCTTTACCACCTATAAAAAAAAGAACTTGGAATTTGGAAGCTGCATGGTAAAGAATTATAAACCAGAACAATATCAAAGTTCCTGTATAGGGAGACGCAGTAGTTGATGTGAGGGGCATTATAAGTTTCTACAAATCTCAATTGAGAGCTATAATATTTGTGACCTGGCACAAGTTAAAGCATATCTAAACCCAAAAACAAACATTAATATATTGCAGCTTACTAATCTTTAAATGTAGTGGCTGCATTAGTTTTTCCTTTTTCCCCTTTATTTTCACCTGCAGATCCAGCCTGTAACAGGGATGTGCAGTCAGGGGAGGCAGGTGTGGCAGAGCCTCACCTAGTATTATGGAGGAAAAAGCTGTCATCTTCGAGTCTGAAGTAGACAGCTTTTTCTCCATTCAGAGCAGCTTCTAACAGGTTACACAGCAACAAAAAAACGACAAATACCGGCGACGCCGGTTGCAAGAAAAAGCCCAATTTGATGTTAGTGGATACACAAAAGAGGCTGCTCCCACCGGTCAACAAGACCCTCGATCTGGGAAACAAAAAACAAAACAGAGCGTCTCCATAGTGTAAAAGGGTTATTTATTTGTACGACACACAGCTGAAATTATACTTACAAAAAGGTCGGTCAATAAAAAGCATGCAATATGAAACTGATGAGTCGATGAAATATGAAACTCTGACAGCGGGAGTCTCACGGGATGAAACAAATCAAAGTCCTCTGCCCCTGTGAGTTCGGAAGGTCTAGGCGTTTCAGGGGCACGCCCCTTCATCAGAACCTAAGGGAACTCTTCTGTATCCTGCTCTATTTAAATTAAAACTGACCAATCACTGAAGTTTGTCTACGAAAGGTCATATGGCAATATCAGACCAATTGCCGGTAATTCAGCTATTGATCCTCACCTAGTGAGGCAGAGCCTCACCTAGTATTATGGAGGAAAAAGCTGTCAGCTTCGAGTCTGAAGCAGACAGCTTTTTCTCCATTCAGAGCAGCTTCTAACAGGTTACACAGCAGGGAAATCCTCCCCGTTGTGTAACCTGTCATGGACGGAGTAATGCCTGTTAATTAAAGACAGCGCTGCATCCAGCTTTTGACAGCTAGTTAGTTTACTCAGCAGCGGGCTTGCACACTGCTTGTGTAACCTAACATAGAACTCAAGCCTCTAACTCTGCTCTGTGTTAGAGTCTTGAGTTCTGTGGATGGTTTGAACCAATGGCAAAGCGCCATTGGTCCAAGCTGTCATATAAAAAACCCCCAGAAAAAACAAAACAAAACACTGAGGACATCAATCTCGATGCCTCACCACTGATGAGAAAGTGAGGGACAAGGAGGCTCCTCCCTGTCTTTTCCCTTCCTCCTCCCTCCCTCCTCCACACATAGCTTGGTTACTGAGTTGGGAGCATGGCTTCAGCGGGATGGGGCGGAGCTTTTGTGGGATGGGGCGGAGCTTCGGTGGGATGGGGCGGGGTGGGCTGCGGAAGGGTCTGGGGAATGCCTCACCCAGCATGGAAGGCACTGCACGTCACTGGCTTATAACATACTTCCTGACTTAGCGTGACTCCACTGTATGGAGGAGCAATGGAGCCACCCTTGGACAGCAGCATTGTCACCCTGTGGAGAGGGTAGTGTTAGCTGCATCAGCAGATGTAGATGGCTTTGACTAAAAATTAAAGCTGAGCTCCAGCCAACAATTTTTTTTTTTTTAATTTCAGCAGCAGTTAATTTTTCCTTTTGAGATAAAGGTTTTACATACATTAATCAAAGCTTACCTTTGTAAGCACCCCTATCAGTGTTAAATGGCTTGACTGAACCCTCTATCTGATACTTGTGCTGGACAGCTTGGTCTGTTAAAGGAAGTTAAAAAATAACAGACTTACTGGCCTGATCACCAGGTGAATCTAAGGAAAAAGGCCAAAAAAATAATTCTAATGCAGCCACCTCATTTAAGAATTGATAAGCTACAATATATAACATTTTTACTTTTGGCAAGTAAGTCTCTAATAAGAAAACAGTCTAAAACTCCTGCAATGTAGCTAGAAGAAATCATATTGATGCACTAATTCACATCCAAGATGACTGATATGGATGCAGTCGGACACAGTCACCACCACCTGTGAACACTATTTACCATAACTAAATTGCAAGCAGTACTTGGCAGCTATCAAGGAGCTTTATGAGGACAGTGACAGCAGCTATATCATTTTCAACATTCCACTTACTAGAGACACCTAAAAAAGAAAATGAAACTTCTGACAATCATTTAACATGTGGAACACTTTTATTGTACAGTTACTGGATTTGTGATAGAGGTCAGCAATGTCTACGATGTCCCAGGTGTAGCCTGCTGTTAGCTTTCAGTGAATATAAG